AGATACTCTGAAACTTGCTGTCCAACATAGAGTAGCTAATGAATGGAAGAAATGATGAAGTGAAAGACCCGAACAGAAGATTTCAAAGGGCAGCTCAAAAAGACAAGGTAAAGTGTTATAATTACATGTGCAAACATCTGGAGTTAGAAAACCAAAAGGGAAGATCATACTCAGCATTTCTCAAGCTGATAGAAGTGAAGAAAAAAATTCAAGTCTCAAGTCACAATATTGAACAATTCTATGGGCAAAATACTGAGCCATGCAGAAAGCATTAAAAAAAGATGGAAGGAGTACACAGAGTCATTGTTCCAGAAATAATTGGTCGACAATCAACCATTTCAGGAGGTAGCATATAATCAAGAACTGACGGTATAGACGGAAGAAGTCCAAGCTGCAATGAAGGCATTGGTGAGAAACAAGACTGCAGGAATTGACAGAATACCAACTTAGATGTTTCAACAAATAGATGCAGTACTGGAAGCTCTCACTCATCTATGCCAAGAAATTTGGAAGACAGTTACCTAGCCAACTGACTGAAGAGATCCATATTTGTGACCATTCCAAACAAAGGTGATCCAACAGAAAGCAAAAATTATCAAATAATATCATTAATATCACATGTAAGTAAAATTTTGCTGAAGAAAATTCATAAACGTTGCAGCAGCATATCAACAGGGAGCTACTAGAAATTCAAGCCGGATTCATAAGCGGACATGGAATAAGAGATATCATTGCTGATGTCAGACGGATCTTGGCTTAAAACAGAAAATACCAGAAAGATGTCTACTTGTGTTTTTATTGACTATGCAAAGGCATTTGGCTATGTGGATCGTAACAAATTACAGATAACATTGCGAAGAATGGGAATTCTAGAACACTTGATTGTGCTCAGGGGGAACCTGTACGCAGACCAAGAGGCAATTGGTGGAACAGAACAGGGGAAACTGTGTGGTTTAAAATCAAAAAAGGTGTGTATCAGGGTTGTATCCTTTCATTATACTTATTCATTCTGTATGCTGAGTAAATAATCCGAGAAGCTGCACTATATGAAGAAGAATGCAGCATCAGGATTGGAGGAAGACTCCTTTACAACCTGCGATATGCAGATGACACAAACTTGTTTGCTGAAAGTGAAGAAGAGTTAAAGCAATTACTGATGAAGATCAAAGACCATAGCATTCAGTATGGATTACACCTCAACATAAAGAAAACAAAAGTCCTCATAACTGGACCAATAAGCAACATTATGATAAACGGAAAAATTTGAAGTCATCAAAGATTTCATTTTACTTGGATCCACAATTAACACCAATGGAAGCAACAATCAAGAAATCAAATGAAGTCTTGCATTGGACAAAGCTGCTGCAAAAGACCTCTTTCAAGTGGTAAAAAAGCAAAGATGTCACTTTCAGGACTAAAGGGGGCCTGGCCCAAGCCATGATATTTTCAGTCGCCTCATATGCATGCAAAAGTTGGACAATGAATAACGAAGACTGAGAAAGAATTGATGCCTTTAAATTGTGGTGGTGGCAAAGAATATTGGATATACCATGGACAGCCAGAAGAATGGACTAATCTGTCTTGGAAGAAGTACGCCAGAATGCTCCTTAGAGACAAGGATGGTGTCTTAGTCATCTCGTGCTGCTATAACTGAAATACCACAAGTGGGTAGCTTCACCAAAGAGAATTTTATTCTCTCACGATCCAGTAGGTTACAAGTCCAAATTCAGAGCATCAGCTCCAGGAGAATGCTTTCTCTCTCTGTGGGCTCTGGAGGAAGTTCCTTGTGATGCATCAGCCTCCCTTTGGTCTGTGAGCATCTCAGTGCAACAATGTCATGTCCAAAGGACACGCTCTGCTCCCGGCACTGCTTTCTTGGTAGTATGAGTTTCCCATGTGTCTCTGCTCGCTTCTCTCTTTTATATCTCAAAAGAGACTGGATTAAGACACTATCTAATCTTGTAAACCTCATCAGTATAACCTCATCATAGTGATAGAGTTTACAACACGTAAGGAAATCACATATAACCTCATCTTAGTGGTAGAGTTTATAACACATAAGGAAATCACATCAGATTTACAAAATGGTACACAATCATACAATACTGGGAATCATCACCCACAAGTTGACAGATATTTTGGGGGGACACAATTCAACCCATGACAGATGGTGAGACTTCCTCTCACATATGTTGGACATGTTATCAGGAGACACCAATCCCTGGAGAGGAACATGATGCTTGGCAAAACAGAGGGTCAGCAAAAAAGAGGAAGACCCTCAACGAGTTGGATTGACACAGTGACTGCAGCTATGAACTCAAACATAGCAGTAATTGTGAGGACGGCACAGGACAGAGCAGTGTTTTGTTCTGTTGTACATAGGGTCCTTATGAGTTGTAAATGACTCAAGGGCACCTAAAAACAATAACAAGGCACATATCTATGAGCACCAGAAGTGATTGTAACTTCTAATTAAATGTCTGGGGGGATGTAAATGGGGAAACATACTATAGATTTCAAGATATTCCACATGTTTAATAACAGGTTTTTTTTAAGGAAAACTCATCATCATAATTAATGTGTGAATTTATAGATGATTACAGCACCTACATGATTAGAACAACAATAAATTATAAAAAATACCCTTAATATTATGGAAATTTGATGATATCGACATCCTACATCTTTAGTCATAATGGGATATATTATACAAAATCTATAAATTAACAAATATAGAGGATACATAATGTCATCAAGAATACCTTCAATCTGTAAAAATGTAAGATAATTTATGTTTTTCCAAGCTTTAGGAAAAAATATGGACTTCAGATTCTGTTGTTGTTGTTAGGTGCCATCATATCAGTTCCAACTCATAATGACCCTAGGTAAAATAGAACAAATAATTTTCTGGTCCTACATCATCCTCACATTCATTGCTATGTTTCAGCCTATTGTTACAGCTACTGTGTCAATCCATCTCATTGAGGATCTTCCTCATTTTCGCTGACCCTCCACTTATCAAGCATGATGTCCTTCTCCAGGGATTTTTCCCTCCTGATAGTGTGTCCAGGATGAAGTCTCCTTTCTAATTGTCCAGCTTTCACATGTATATGAGGCTATTGAAAACACCATGGATCGGGTCAGGCACACCTTAGTCCTCAAAGTGACCTCTTTGCTTTTTTAACACTTGAAAGGGGTCTTTTGCAAAAGAATTGCCCAATGATTTCTTTACTGCAGTTTCCACTGGTGTTGATCGTTGATCCAAGTAAAATGAAATCCTTCACAACTTCAATTTTTCTCCATTTATCATGACATTGCTTATTGGTCCAGTTTTGAGGATTTTTGTTTTATGTTGAGCTGTAATCCATACTGAAGGCTGTAGTCCTTGATATTCATCAGTAAATGATTCAAGTACTCTTCATTTTCAGCAAGCAAGGTTGAGTCATCTGCATATTGCAGGTTATTGGTTAGTCTTCTTTCTATCCTGATGCTCCATTCTTCTTCATATAATCCTAATTCTGGGAATATTTTCTCAGCATACAGATTGAATAAATAAGGTTTCAATTTTAAACCACACTGTATCCCCTTGTTATGTTTGAATGACTGCCTCTTGGTCTTAATACAGGTTGTGTTTGAGCACAATTACCATATTTTTACGTGGTTGGCCACCAAAGTAGAAGACGTGTTGTTTGCGTAAAAATACAGCAAGTGTTCTGGAATTCCCATTTTTCCCAATGTTATCCACAATTTATTATGATACACACAGTGAAATGCCTTTGTGTAGTCAATAAAACACAGATAAACATCTGTCTGGTATTCTCTGCTTTAGGCCAAGATCCATCAGACATCAGTAATGATATCCCGTATTCCACGGCCTCTTCAGAATCAAGCTTGAATATCTGACAATTTCCTGTTGATGTACAGCCGCAGCCATTTTTTAATTATCTTCAGCAAAATTTTGCTTGCATGTAATATTAATAGTATTGTTAAGTAATTTCCACATTCCATTGGATCGCCTTTCTTTGGAATGGGCATGAATATGAATCTCTTCCATCATTTGACCTGGTAGCTGTCTTCCAAATTTCTTGACATAGATAGTAGACCATTGCCAGTTTTGCATCCATTTGTTGAAGCATCTCAATAGTTTTTCTGTTAATTCCTGGAATCTTATTTTTCACCAATGCCTTCAGTGTACCTTGGACTTTTTCTTTCAGGACCACTGTTCTTGATCATATGCCACCCACTGAATGGTTGAGCCTCAAACAATTTTTTTTTTAATACAGTGATTCTATGTATTGCTTCCATCTTCTTCTGATGTTTCCTGTGTCATTCAGTTTTTTGCCCATAGAATCCTTCAGTATTGCAACTTGAGGCTTGTTTTTTTTCTTAAGACCTTTCAACTTGAGAAATGCCAAGCGTGTTCTTACCTTTTGGTTTCTTCACTCCAGGTTTTTGCACATTTCATCATAAAACCTGCCTTTGTTTTCTCAAACCACCCTATGGAATCTTCTGTTTAATTCTTTTACTTCATTATTTCTTCTGTTTGCTGTTGCTACTCTACATTCAAGAGCAAGTTTCAGAGTGTCTTCTGACATCCATTTTGGTCTTTTCTTTTTTTTAATGCTCTTTTGCTTCCATCATGCATGGTGTCCTTGATGCCATCCCACAACATTGCTGAGGTCACACTGGGGTGGTGTTGTCTGCAGATTCTGTTACAATGGTCTTATTATAAGAAAATGTTCAGGACTGTTTAACTGATAAGTATTTGTAAATACTTCACAATACTTAAAAATTTTTATTGAATGAAGAAAGTTATATTGTTACTAGGTTAAAAAATTTTAATTGTTTTGGATTTTTATTATATGACATTCCAAAGATGCCAGCTTATATTCTATACATAACAGAATTGTTTCCGAAATGATTAGGTGTCTGACCAAATATCCAGTTGGAATTTCAAGGCTCTTTTAATTACATTATTCCTTATTTATACTATTTTGCAGCCCCCTCTCCAGTTACCAATGTGAAAAAGGGGAAGATTGCAAAAAACAGCATATCTTTGTCTTGGCAAGAGCCAGATCGCCCCAATGGAATCATCTTGGAGTATGAAATCAAATATTTTGAAAAGGTGAGACTTACAATGAAAATTGTTCTGTCTACTTTTTTTTTTTTTTTAGTTTTAGACTCTGCAATTATCCAATTTGTGAAGAGTATGTTGCAATTTTATGTGTAAATCAATGAAAATTGATTTTGTAGTCATGATTATGGATGTAGAGGTGTACAGGGAGTATTCTATTCATGTTGTTCTTCTGCCAAATAGTTTATGCTTCCTGGATACTGCCATATAGTCTAACATTGGCTTAACTAGATTTCACAGCATTAACAGATGAAGTCATAGGACATTTTTTAAGTGTTGCAAGCACTTAATCTGTTGACTTTCAATAGTTACTTCAGTGTGCTACAAGAAAAATGATGTTTGTTTGACAGTAACTACTCATAGTACCTATACTGTTAAGTAATTATAAGCTGATGAAATATATATATATATCATATAATTTAAAAAAAACTATAACAAAAATATAACACTATAGTCTAAACTTGATTTTAAAATTTGAGAGTACAAAATCAGAAATGTCAGCCTCACATTACCCATTTTGTCTTGATTTCCTCATCTCCTTTGTGTTGTCTGTAAGGTCTATGCTTACATATTTTGTCATAGTATTTGTTGGGGTCTAAAGAAAATCATCATCCATCTTCTTTTTTGAATCCACAGTCAAGTGAGCTATTGAGAAAGGAATAATACAGATAGAAATTGGTAAAGATGGAACAGCATACGTGACTCAGATATATAGTAATATGCAGTTTTCTTATCACTCCCACCTCTATTCTACTGTGATTTTTGTACAACTTGTATCTGAAGGACATACACTGCTTAGAACATGCTGATATAGTAGAGAATAGAAAGATAAATGGACACCGAAACCTGTCCCTAAGAGGTGGATCAGGAACCCTTTACACAGAAGTGCTAGTCCTGTGGAAATAGGAGTAGAAAAGAATACAGACATACTTCAGACAAGCAGATCCAAAAAGAGAAAGGAAGGACTAAACTATACTTAATTCCATCTCCCAAACTCACAGTGACATCAGTCCTCCCTCTCTTATGAAAAAGTGAAGGGGTGGCAAGAATGGCATAAATTTACTTCTGGATACATAAGAAATTGCCCAAGGTAGTTCATTGGTGGGGGGGTTGGGGAGGCGGGGTAAGTGATTCCCCTTATGATAATACAAAGATATCATGACAAATGTTGATGCCATATTAATGAAAATTACTTAAGAATCCAAGGTTCTCTATATATATACATAAAGAGTGTAGGTAAATACATTGAAATGTTAATGTTTCTTAGGATCATAGGGATTTAAAAAAAAATTTTTTTTATTGTACTTTAGATGAAAGTTTACAGAACAAATAAATAGTTTCTCATTACACAGTCAGTACGCATATTGTTTTATGACATTGGTTAACAAACCTACAACATGTCAACCCTCTCCCTTCTCGACCTTGAAGGACTTTTTTTCTTTTTTGGTGAAAATATACACAGCCAAAGAGACACCATTTCAAAAATTTATACATGTACTATTCAGTGACCTCGATTACGTTCTTCCAGTTGTGCTGTTATTTTCACTATCCTTTTCCAAATTCTTCCATCACCATTATCTTCAACTTACTACCCCCTAGACTTCCCATCAAACCTTTTGAGTTGCTGTTGTCAATTTGATCTCACATAGATAATTCTTTTTTTTTTTTTGTACTTTAGATGAAGGTTTAGAGAACAGAATAGTTTCTCATTAAACAGGTAGTACACACATTGCCCTATGACAATGGTTAACAACCCCATGACATGTCAACACTGTCCTTTCTCAACCATGGGTTCCCTATCACCAGCTTTCCTGTCCCCTCCTGCCTTCTAGTGCTTGTCCCTGGACTGCTGTGCCTCATTAGTCCTGTTTTGTTTTATGGGGCTGTCCAATCCCTAGCTGGACATTGAACCCCAGGAGTGACTTCACCGCTGAGCTGAAAGGGTGTCTGGCGGCTATACTCTCAGGGCTTCTCCAGTCTCCGTCAGGCCAGTAAATCTGGTCTTTTCTTTGACGTTAGAATATTGTTCTACATCCTTCTCCAGCTCTGTCCAGGACCCTCTGTTGTGATCCTGGTCAGAGCAGTCAGTGATGGTAGCCTAACACCATCTAGCTGTACTGGACTCTGTCTGGTGGAGGCGTTGGTAGTCGTGGTCCATTAGTCCTTTGGACTAATATTTTCCTTGTATCCTGTTTTCTTCATTCTCCCTTGCTTCCGAGGTGTGAGAGCAGTGGAGTATCTTAGATGGCTGCTCACAGGCTTTTAAGACCCCAGATGCTACTCACCATGGTAGAATGCAGAACATTGTCTTTATAAACTGTGTTATGCCAATTGAGCTAGATGTTCCCTGAGAGCATGGTTCCCACAGCCCTCCACCCAGCAATTAAGTCCCTCAGGGAGTTTGGATGTGTCTATGGAGCTTCCATGACCTTTCCTTGTACAAGTTGTGCTGGCTTCCCCAGTACTGTGCACTGTCTTACCCTTCACCAAAGTTACGAGTTCTCAATTGTCTATTTAGTTTCCCCCTCCCACCGCTCCCATCTCTTGTAACCAACAAAGATTGTTTCTTTTTGTGTGTAAACTTTTTCATGAGTTTTTACAGTAGAGGTCTCATACAATATTTGTCCTTTTGTGGTTGACTTGTTCTACTCACCCTGATGTCCTCCAGTTTAATCCGTGTTATGAGATGTTTCACAGATTTATCATTGTTCTTTATCATTGTGTAATACTCCATTGTGTGTATGTACCATAGTCTGTTTATCCATTCATCTGTTGATGGGCATCTAGGTTGTTTCCATCTTTTTGCTATTGTAAACAATGCTGCCATGAACATGGGTGTGCGTATGTCTATTTGTATGACAGCTCTTATTTCTCTAGGATATATTCCTAAGAGTCGGATTGTTGGGTCGTATGGTATTTCTATTTTTAGCTTTCTAAGGAAGCACCATATCATTTTCCAAAATGGCTGTATCATTATACATTCCCACCAGCAGTGCATAAGAGTTCCAATCTCCCCGCAGCCTCTCCAACATTTGTTATTTCCAGTGTTTCTGATTCGTGCCAGTAATGCCAGGGTGAGATGGTATCTCATTGTGGTTTTAATTTGCATTTCTCTAATGGCTAGTGATGGCGAGCATTTCCTCATGTGTCTTTTGGTCACTTGAATTTCTTCTTTGGTGAAGTGTCTGTTCATTTCCTTTGCCCATTTTTTAATTGGATTATTTGTCTTTTTGTTGTAGACGTGTTGGATTTTCTTATAGATTATGGAAATTAGAACTTTGTCCGACTTATAATGTCCCAAAATTTTTTCCCGGTCTGTAGCTTCTCTTTTTACTCTTTTAGTGAAGTCTTTAGAAGAGCATAGGTGTTTCATTTTTAGAAGATCCCAGTTATCTAGCTTATCTTCTGGAGTTTGTGTGTTGTTTGTTATGGTTTGTATCCTGTTAATGCCATGTATTAGGGCATCTAGCGTAGATCCTATTTTTTTCTTCTATGAACTTTATAGTTTTTCCTTTATATTTAGGTCTTTGATCCATTTTGAATTAGTTTTTGTATATGGTGTGAAGTATGGGTCCTGTTTCTGTTTTTTACAGATGGACATACAGTTTTGCCAGCACCATTAGTTAAAATGATTGTCTTTTCTCCATCTGATGGACTTTAGGCCCTTGCCTAAGATCAGGTGACTGTAGGTGGTTGGATTTACATCTGGGTTCTCAATTCTGTTCCATTGGTCAATGTATCTGTCGTTGTACCAGTACCAGGCTGTTTTGACTACCGTAGCTGTATAGTAGGTTCTGAGGTCAGGTAGTGTGAGTCCTCCTACTTTATTCTTCTTCTTTAGTAGTGCTTTAATTATTTGGGGCTTCTTCCCTTTCCATATAAAGTTAATGATTAGTTTTTCCATCTCTTTAAGAATACTGTTGGTATTTAGATCAGGATTGCAATGTATTTGTAAATTGCTTTGGACAGAATTGTCATTTTCACTATGTTGAGTCTACCTGTCTATGGGCATGGTAAGTATTTCTATTTATGTAGCTCCCTTTGGGTTTCTAGCATTAGTGTTTTGTAGTTTTCTTTGTATAGGTCTTTTACATCCCTAGATAGATTTATTCCTAAGTATTTTATTTTTTTTAGGGGCTAGTATAAATGGTATTGTGTTCCTGCTTTCCTTTTCATCGTTCTGTTTATTGGTGTATAGGAATCCAATTGATTTTTGTATGTTTATCTTGTATCCTTCTACTCTGCTGAATCTTTCTGTTAGTTCCAGTAGATTTCTCATGGAGTCTTTAGGATTTTCTATGTATAGTATCATATCATCTGCAAACAAAGACAGTTTAACTTCTTCATTACCAACTTGGATGCCCTTTATTTCTTTTTCTTGCCTTATTGCTCTAGCCAGGACTTCCAGCACAGTGTTAAATAGGGGTGG